AGAAATCCTTCCATAAAATGGATACTACATGCAATTCATGAAAGAACTGTCTTCATGCACAACGGAAATGTTGTAGATATGGGAGGTGAACCTGAACTATAACCTCAGTAAGGACTGGAGAAAGAAAGTTCTTCTAGAGGATTTAACATTACAATATCAAGAATTCCCAGGAAGGGTGGCATCCAAAGTAACAGTAATCAGATGATTAAGAGTCCAATACTTGTTTAGTTGAAGAGAAGAAAGGCTGGAGGTTGAATGGAAACTACAGTCATATGTGAACATTTTTTTTTTAATCTAGTAATAAAAGAACATTGGGAAAGAGTGAGTTGCAAACTTTTTCTAGTACAGGGATATCCTTACTGCACTGAACCAAGTGACAGATTATTTCCTAAAGTCTGTAGCAACCGTATAAAACTGCCTCATAATTGTCAGGTAGGAAAAATCCACATATGAAAGAATTTCTTCATAATAAAAGAAAAAATAATGAAAGTATAATAAAAAAACTTTCAACTCCTTCAGAATAAAAGTATTTTCATAATTACTATGTACTTTTGTCAAAATACCTCTGGTTGGGTTTTTTTGGTTGGTTGGTTGGTTTCCGTTGTTTTTTTGTTTTGTTTTGGGGTTTTTTTGGTTTGTTTGTTTGTTTGTTTTTTTTTGAGAAAGCAGCAGGGAATAGAAATTACCTCTTAAGTTCTGGGATCACAGAAGTTCACAGTTTGCTAATTACTTTTTTTTTTTTTCCTTCTGTATTTCCCATTCTTCAGAAATATGATCAAAGGCAAAACACAAGAGAAAAGAGAATTATTTTCAGTGAAAATATTCTCACACTTTAGGATTTCATTTTCTCTTTCTCAGTGCTACATTTCAGGTAACATCTGCCTTCCAGCCAGTATCCACGTGGTTCTCAGAAACACACTCTTATTTCTTCTCTGGTTCTAAACCACAATATACAGGCTAAAATCAACAGAAACCCTTTTGTTTGTTTTTGGGGGTGGATGACCTTTCTGAAGGCTGTTCTCTCCTCATCAGAGATTATCTGGAAACATTAAAGCCTCACAGGCTGGAAAAGAATCTAAAGAAGTCTAACTCCCTACACCAAGACAAAATTGCCTGATCCTCACAAAAGCACCTCTTGCAGATAACTTCCCTGATTCACCAGCACCGGTCAAGGAAGATTAATTTACTTCATTATTCTCAACAACTCCTATTTCCTTCTCCTCCCCCAAACTCAGATACAATGAAAAATTATAAATAAATAATGATTTAAAAGTCCAGTTTCAGTGTAAGAGCTATTACCCTATCCTGAAAAGCTCTTCTAGAGCAGGGGGCAACGCTCACTGTCACACCTGCCTGTTCATGCTCAACAGTGCAGGAAATCTTTCCATCTCATGGCAAGGAAGAAACAAGGACAAAAAGAAAGTAATAAACTGACTAGTATTTTTCACTTCTCCAAAACCAATTTTAAGAACAGTAACAACAACAACAAAAAAGTACTTTTAATCTGAAGTTTAGAGCAACAGGGAAATAAAACCCAGGGGCTGCAGGCTTAACTGTCTGGTATTTGGCAGAAACAGGTGTGATTTCAGCCAGAATGATCAGGATTAACAAAATAAAAACAAAAACCCCACACGCTTCCAAGGCCACATGTTACTTTGCTTTTAAAGTTATCTTAAGGGGAGGCGAGGAACGGGAAGCACCAGTAAATATGAGAAAGGCTGCTAAATCACTACTGCTAGCCAGTCCACCAAAGCACAGTGAACTTGTTCCTAGCATCACTACTGAGTGTATGTTAATCCAAATACAATAGCAGCAGACATGGAACTTTTAATTCATATTTCTAATTTCAGTTGATGAAATATTAAAATAATTCTTCATTTGAGAGAAGCAATGATGCTTGCATGCATATGTACTGCTTTGTTCACCTCAAAAATACAATCTGGAAGTAGTTCAACTCTTTTTGTCAACTGCTATATTAGATGAAGAAATTCTATATTTAAAAAAATAAACTTACATGATTGAAGTGCAGCATTCTTAAGGTACTTGTAGTTTGCAATCTGTAATTTTAGAAAAGGCCTCCGCAAGGATGGCAAGTATTCTCATGGGAAATCAAAGCATTAAGTACTTTTGAGATACAAAAATATTTAAAAGCAAGAATCTACAATGCCAGGCGTGGACAAACATTTCTATATTATGTGCCATCTTATTAATTGGTCTCAATTGCCTGGGTGCAAAATGATGAAAAACACTAGAAAAGTTCTAATCATACCAAAAACCTTTAAGAGCAGCCTTTCAGAATTCTAGTTTTGTTTTAGAGAGAGTAATTTAATATTTTAGTTTCAAATATTTAGCATTTGAAGAACAGCTACAGGTATTCCTGGCATCCTCCTTAACAGAATTACCTGGCTCTAACTGCACTAAAAGCATAGATGCATCTGATTTACCTAAATACTTGGATATACAGCGAGGAAAACAAAAAAAAAAAACCTTTCAATCAAGCAATCCAGTAAAAGTCAGGGGAGTTTGAACACCTAACCTGGTTAGATTTTATAAAACTAATAAATAGTTTCAGTAATTACGGTGCAGTTACAACCATTATGAATCAGTCTTCCTCGTTCACCAAAATAGCCAACTGCTACTTGGAGAGAACCATACTCTAGGAATTTTTGTAGTTTACAGGGAAGACTTAATTCTTGTTTCCACCTGTTTTATCAGTGGTCAAAAGTGAAAATTACTCTCTTGAAAGCAAGCATTCAATATGTAATATAGCTCAACCTTCTCTTCTGTCCTTAAACTTGCTCCATCATAATGTACTGTAAAATAAAGTGAAGATTATTTGCATCCACCACATTAGGTGTTACGGTACTACATAAACACACACAAATCTTTCAACTATGAATACAAGTATTCTGTTTCCTTACCATTGTCACCTACCCCATTTACAAATTTTAGCCTCACATTTCATGTTTATCATACCATTCTCTCACCTAGCTTTAGGTCTATGAAACATTTTAATGCACTCTGAAAACTTAAAAGTTCTAAGATTAGTTTGACAACTAATTAGCACAACAGATTCTTAATTAGGAGGCCTGTATACTGCTGGAATTGAAGTAGATGAGTTAAACAGCAAGATAAAATAGACCTAATTCACAGTGCTTTTTCTACCATATGGTTTCTCTCTCGAGTATTCCCATTCTTTTTCATGACATTTAGATATGTTGGTACATTTAATCTCATTTATTTCTACTTCTAGAAGACAATTGTTACATTAGTATGAAGACTTTGGAGACAGAGAAAGCTACAATTTCAAAAATTTCTACAGCATTAAAATTGTTACTACTGAATGAGTTAATAGATTTCTTTGTTCGGGTCCTTTTATTAAAGTGAAATGCACCAATATCTCTCCTGCTTTTCCCAAGCTGCAAGCATATAATGGGAAGAATTTGCCCCCGAACCCCAACGCTGACAGGAAACTGTCTCTGGGGTCATAAAAATGTAGGTTTGTTTAGTCACGTAGCAGCTAATGCCATGTATGCATGTAACAAGTTTCCAAAATGTCAAACTAGCTAAAAAATAGAAGTTAACTACAGAAAAATAAAATTCAGATCTAACTAAAAAGAGACAACTAAGCAACTGCATTAACCAAGTAATGACAAGTATCAATTTGAGGAAGTGATTCCTCATCTTCTGCTATTAAATTCCCAAATCCAGTTCATGGTGCGACTGCCAGCCATCACCTTCTGGTCCACTTTTAGATTACCTCAGCATATTCACAGCAGATTTTTTTTACTTCTGTATCTGTTTGATTTCTATCCCTCTCATGACCATTCCCTGCTTCCTATCTCATCAGAATACTGCATGACACTTGCAGCACTGCAATCTACTGGTGTAGAGAATGTGCCAGAAAACATTCTGACAGGTTCCAGAAAAGGGCCACAAAGATCATCAGGGGACTGGGATGTCTGTTGTATGAGGAAAGGCTGAGAGAAATGGACTTGTTCAGCCTTGAGAAGAGGGGGGCTTAGGGGAGACCTTATCACCATGTGCCAGCATTTAAAGGGTGGCTACAAAGACGATGGAGACTCCCTTTTTACAAGGGGTCACATGGAAAAGGCGAGGGGTAATGGGTACAAGTTACTCCTGGGGAGATTCTGATTGGACACGAGAGGAAAATTTTTCACAGTGAGAACAGTCAGCCACTGGAATAATCTCCCCAGGGAAGTGGTGGATTCCCCAACACTGGATACTTTTAAGATTCAGCTGGACAGGGTGCTGGGCCATCTTGTCTGGACCGTGCTTTTGCCAAGAAAGGTTGGACCAGATGATCCCTGAGGGCCCTGTCAACCCGGCATTCTATGAGTCTGTAAAAATGATGGTCTGGCATTACTTTTCTAGGTAACACTGTATATTATTGCCTTAACAAAAGCTGTTGAATGAAGAATAGGGGGTAGAAGCCACTGAAGAATCTTCCTTTCATAATTCTATAACAAATGCAATGTTGAATCCAGAATTCAGGAGCCACTGAGCAGCTATTGCTGTTCTTTGCTCACTTTACCTCCATCTCATCCTACCACCCTCCGATCTTCCAGTTTGTCCACCTCAATTGCAGGGGATCCAGCCTTTGGGAATGAAAAACCATGAAAGCTGCAGGAATGGTCATATTTACTGTAAGAGTATGTCTGCAGGGTCATACTACTGGCATTTTTAAAAGCCTAGTGAAGACAACCAACCTTCATTCGTCCCTTCCTGTATGAATGGTCTGTATGTCAAAATACCTGAAAACTGCACTGATACAGTAGAAATTATTTTAACTTGTATTACGAATAAACTGCACATGCTGTTTTACAGACAATATATATTTGTAAACTTACTCATGCAAAATTAGTGTGCACAACAGGGATTTGTTTCCTAATCCCCACACCTTTATAAATGACATTTATGTCTGCTTTTTTTGAACTGTGCCCAAACCCTCTCTTTAATATAATAAATCTTACACAGAATTCATCTGCCAGCCAAACCAATTTATGAAGCTGAAACAAAAAAAGAATAAAAAGTGATACAAAAACATGATGCACCTGGATGCTTGCTTCCCACCTCCCCCCCTTTTTCGTTTACAAGTAGAAAGAGTGAATAAAGAAAAAAAAAAAAATCATGGTCACAAAATTTTGACATTTTAATCCTAAACATTACAGGGCAAATGGATGTTGGAACCTATTTCCATACACCATGCGTCAACTTTTTAATTCTCAGATGTGGCCAAATCCACTAAAACAAGAGTGGTTAACAAACTCTGGATTATGGAAGTACATTTCTGGAATAAATGCTAGAAAAGTAACAATGGGAAAAGCCAACTGTCTCCATAAAGGTAAATAAAGTGGAACAATGTGTAGGTTAGATATTTTTTCTGTTTCTTACTCATAACCTGTCAATTCAGTGCATCATATGGTTCAACTTAATGGTCCTCATTTTGGACAAACATCTAACTAGTGTCCATTGATTCCAAGTTAGTGGATGATGAATCTTTTTGGATACTTTCAAAGATGGCTGCCAGCTCAGGGTTAGAGCTTATCTGTGACTGGAATTCACTCATTAATGGACTCTTCTCTGCTTCTGGAATGGTTAGAAGCGCTGCTACTGCTCTCATGGCAGATCGTTTCAGTTCATCTTGCTTCTCAAACTCCTGTTTCACTGAGTTTGCCTTTACCTAGGGAAAAAATTAAAATACGTTTGAAACTTTTGCCTAATCCTCCCTCTACAGCCACCTTCAAAAAAAAAAAACCCAAAACATATCTTACAAAGGCCTATTTCCTTCCATACTACCACTTTGCACAGCTTTCAAAATGGCCTAAGGTCATAAAAAAAAAAAAACAACCAAACTAACGACACAAAAAAAAAAAAACACCAAACATCCACTGTTTAGCAGACTTTTTACCAGCAGCTTATAGATAAACTGAAACTTGAATACTGCAAGGTAAGCAGAAAAAGGCTGTAAGCTACCAAATCAATTACCAAATCAAAACAATTATAGCAGCCAACCTCTAGCTAGTAAGGTCAGTAAACAACATTAAACTGAAATTATCACAGTACTTCTAGCTTCCAGATCAGAACTTTTTAAAAAAGTTGATCTTCATTAAAATAACTGCTTAACCTTCTGTTATAATTCTCAGAGATGTTTCAGTAATACAAACATTGATTATCATTAAAAGCAGTCAAATTTCTTGATGTGAAATATAACAGTATACAGTAATGGACAAGCAAAGTAAATCAGGCATTAAATGACTGTCAGAGCATGCAGGTGGATCAAGACAAGAGCAGGAATGGAAGGACTGTGCCACAACCCAAGAATCCTGTAATATAAATGAAGAAGGGGAAAAGAAAAAAAAAACAACAAAAATAAGACTACTTTACACTGCCTCCATCCATCATCACTCAAATGCTTGTCTGAAACAACGTAATCATCAGAAGTCAGAAAAATTCTTAGTATTCCAGTTTCACTATTTATAATGAAGTGAGTCTTACAAGTTGCCCAAGTGGCCAGCTACATTTTTAAGGAACAAAAGAAATGGCAAAGAAACAGGGGATTTTTAAAAAGAAACTAACAAGTCTACTCATACATTTGTAATTTAAAGAAATATAATATGTGTATAAAGGCCCACACATTTATATTATTCTACCCACTGCAGCTTATCAACTATAACTCAGGAAATGCTGCAGCAGTAAAGTATTCTTCATACACAAGTTCATTTATATTTCCACAAGACAGCACAAAATTATTAACTTAAATAAGTTTAAATTTAAATACCTTCGTTGTACATGTAGCACGCAAAGGTTCAACAAGCCTATCCAACCTCTGCAGTACTGCACTTGGACATAGGGTAGACAGTCTCACCAGCATTAAAAATGTTAGCATCTAGGTTGAGAAAAAAACAATTCAACCGTTAGTTATGCTCAGCACATATATGGAGATGTATTTTCTACAATGCTATGTAACCTTTTTAACAGCGACACCTCAATGAAAATGGCAAATATAGTGAAATACTTAAGTATATGAAGTAGTATTTTTACCATTTTGGTCTACTCACTATTTAAAATATTTTGACCGAGTCACTGCTTACATGGAGAAAAATGACAGCTAACCTTGATATCATAGTGATCCTTCAGGCCATCTTCAACATGATTTAAGAATTCAAATATATCTAGTCTATCCAAACAGCTATCCAAAAGAGTATACATGCACTCGAAAGCTGCTTTCCGTATGTCCAACCCATCATCAACTGTATGCTTAAATGGTCCCATTTCCACCTGTCAGCAAATAAAAAACAAAGTTAAGAAGTAATATATTTAGAAAAACAGGGAATCTACTTACATATATTTAGTGCTGCTTTTCTTAGTTAACATACCTCTCTGATTAATTCCTTTCTGACTTTTGTTTCATTGTAAAGATGGGGAAGCACGGTATCCAAGAGGTCCCTTATTAATGATGGTTTATTGTGTGCAGCTGAGTTAAATGTCACTAGGGCTACTCTCCTGACATTGAGATCCGGGTCCTCCAATGTTTTCAGAAAATCACCTGCAATTGTGTACATAAAGCAACCTATAAGTATCTTTTTCATTTACTACTGGAAAAATATCCTTGCTTAGTTTTAACCTTTCAAAAGGACACATTTAGTGCTGGAGTTATTTTCATGTAACAGAGACCAATAGCTGCTATCTTAGCATGATTACACAAGTAAATCTATTAATTATAACCATATGAAAAGTACTATTACAATTGATATATAGTATTTCATATAATGAAACAGAAGTAGAAAAGCCACCATCAAAATAAATAGCCATCACTTAGTGATATTTCAACTTTTTTTCTAAAGGTACACCATGTAAATTAATGAAAATAATATATAACCTTTCCTTTTCGCCATTAAAAGTCTCTCAGAATATTCATTAGAAAACCAATTTCAATTCTGCAGTTCAAGAATTAGAGAACACCTCTTACGGAAACTATTAACATATTGATTTTTAACCCCTAAATTTGGCATATATTGATAATTCCTAGATTACCATAAAACAAACCTACTCAGCATATATTAATGTAGCAACACCTCTCTAATCCCACCCCACACTTGGGCATTTTCAAATTGGAATTCCTATAGTTCTATAACACAGTCCTGTTAAAATAAATGCCTACGGGAATATATCATATTTTTCCTCAATGTTTGTGAAGTTTTACTAGCAACTTCCATGAGGAATGCAATTTTTAAAAGGAGAAAAACAACAAGGTGTAAACAAAGTGACTTCTACACACAAAAGCAACTGGGTAACAAAACTAAAGATGACAGATTTTTTTTTTAACTACTAGATACCAGTTTTTGACATGATAACCAAAATTTGACATGATAATCAATAAATATTTCAAGAAACCAAAGGGGCAAGACAGCTTCAGAGAGAGAGGAAGGGGAAAAACCCACAAGCATAATCAATTCTTGAATATTAAAAAAAAATAAATAAATAAAATTTAAGCTTAGTGATGAAAATAACACATAGGAACTGATTCCACTTCCCCATAAATAAAAACCTTGCTCTTCACAAAACTGTATGGTTTTAAAGATTAATCTCTTACCCCTATTAGGTTTAGCAGTATACACAATTCTTTACAGATCTTTAAACCTGTAATTAATCCACGATAAAACACTCACCATAGCATATTAAGCAAATCTACAATACTTTGTCATACAAATGAGAAAAGATCAAAAAGCTACAGCATTGCAAAGCTCCTTATTATACTGATGTTACACTGAAAGCTCTAATTACCTTATCCCTGTAAAAATATACATGCTTCCAAATGCTATCAGCCCACAAGCACTACAGAATCATGTACTGGGTTTGCATAGCAAGGTTTTGGTAGCGGGGGGGGGGGCTACAGAGGTGGCTTCTGTGGGAAGCTGCCAGAAGCTTCCCCCGTGTCTGACAGAGCCAACACCAGCTGGATCCCAGACGGACCCGCCGCTGGCCAAGGCTGAGCCCATCAGGGACGGTGGCAGCACCTCGGGGATAACAGTATTCTAGAAGGGGAAAAAAACCTGCACAACTGCAGCCAGAGAGAGTGAGAATACTGGAGAGAAACAACCCTGCAGACACAAAGGCCAGTGAAGGAGGGGGAGGAGATGCTCCAGGCACCAGAGCAGGGATTCCTCTGCAGCCCGTGGAGGTCCATGGTGGAGCAGGTGGATGCCCGAAGGAAGCTGTGACCCCACAGGGGACCCACGCTGGAGCAGTCTGTTCCTGAAGGACTGCACCCCGTGGGAGGGACCCACGCTGGTGCAGTTCATGAAGAACTGCAGCCTGTGGGAAAGACTCACATTGAAGTTCACTGAGGACTGTCTCCCATGGGAGGGACCCCACACTGGAGCAGGGGAAGAGTGTGAGGAGTCCTCTCCCTGACGAGGAAGGAGTGGCAGAGACAACGTGTGATGAGCTGACAGCAACCCCCATTCCCTGTCCCCCTGAGCCACTTGAGGAGAGGAGGTAGAGAGATCGGGAGTAAAGATAAGCCTGGGACAAAGGGAGGAGTGGGGGAAAGGTGTTTTAAAATTTGGTTCTATTTCTCATTATCCTACTCTGATTTGGTTGGTAATAAACTCATTTTCCCAAGTTGAGTCTGTTTTGCCCGTGACAGTAACTGGTGAGTGATCTCTCCCTGTCCTTATCTCGACTCAGGAGCCTTTTATATTTTCCCTCCCCTGCCCAGCTGAGGAGGGAGAGTGATAGAGCGGCTTTGGTGGGCACCTGGTGTCCAGCCAGGGTCAACCTAACACAAATCATAAGGATTTAAATTTACAAGTCACCACCTGGTAATAGTCAGAATTCACACATGCATACACATTTTAAGTGACTGAATATTAAATATTTCCAAGACCACCCTTCTGGTTAAAGACAGTACCTTACTACATCAAACCAATATAATTTGGCAAGAGCATGGTAAAGGAAATCAGCTTTTGAGTCCCATCTTCCTAAAAGCCCTAGCTTCCTGTGTTGCCCATCACAGCTTCAATACATAACATTTTCAGTCAGACAACTTTTACTGCTTATAATTCAAACGAACTAGGATTAATAGAAATAAGTGGCTATTATTGAAACATTTTATAACTGTTCCAACAGTTCTCATTAGCAACTAACTCTAGTACTTGCAAAATATTTTCTTCTGAAAACACAAAGAACAAATTTTAAATCCAGCCCTCTTGCCTGAAAACTTAAGAAGCTGACAGTAAAAGAACTTACCTATGCAGTTCTTCAAGAGTGGATCTATGGGTTGTGGATGATCAGAAATAGTGAACTTAACAGCAGTAACCACTGAACTTCGAGCATATGAGGACCCTAATATGAAACGAAAATGTGAATATTTAACATTAAAACAGTACAAACTACAGAATATAAATCCTGCTCAATGCCATTGGTTTTAAACTTCTAATCCTCTTAAGAACACTACACAAGAAATGTTTTTTATCAGTAGCAATGCAATATGTAACCCAAGTAAGTCTATGGATAAAACATTTTAAACAGGGGGAAAAACACTGTAACATTTGTAATAATTTTATGTTACCATTTAATGTTATCTGCTACAGAAAATTCAAGTAATAAGCCTATTAGAACAGATATTTTTATGATCACACACAGGACTACAAATAATCTTCCTCTTTAAAGCAGAAGCACATGAAGAAAACATGATGGTTCTTAATATGAAACTGATTCATGAATTATGCAGTGATCCTTCCTAATCCTTAAAAATGTCAGAATTCTTATCTGAAAATTAGGAACCCTGTAATTTACACCAAAAGGTCAACATGTTACAACTGGTTTGTCAATTTGTCCTTTTGTTGCCCATGCTCCTTCTCCTTTAAATTTAGAGCTCTTTTTTAGAGCTCTTTGTTAAACAACATTAACTGAAATACCACAGTCTGAAAGCAGAACATAGAAGTAGTTTATGTTACATATGACTAACAACTTCTAGTAAAGATAGAACCATCTAAGTTTCACTTTACGGGGGGGGGGGGGGGAGGCGGGAGCAAAACTTCAGGAGTATCACAAAATCTAAGCAAATAATTTGCAAAACTAGATCAATTTACTGATAGATAGCATAAGGCCATTTGCTACAATATGTACATGAGTTACTACTACTTACCTGCAACCAAGTATCCTTTGAGCCGTGGAAGCAAAGTCTCTGGGTCTATTAAGGTGAGCTTGCCCAAGCACTCAGCAACAACATTTCTTGTACCCTCTTCTGCACATTCGCAGTGTTTCAGGAGTAAGGCCCAAATGTTCTCAACATATGGTTTGAGACCAATCACTGATGCAGAGCTAATTATTTCTTTCAAGGAATGGAGAAGAAGGTATTGCCTTTTAGGTTGACTGGTTATTTCTTGTAAGACAAATGGCAGATACTCAGGAAGATTGCCAACACTAATACTGCCTAATGCGTAAGATGCTGCCGATTTGACTTCTTCACTAGGAGAAGAGAATGCTTCTAATATTACAGACTTCAGCTCAATTTGTCCACTTAAGTCAATGTGATGCCCAACTTCCCCAAGAGAAAGCAAAGCCAAAAGCCGAATGGAATCCGTGGACCTTGAGTTCTTGACATCTTGAATGAACTGACCTACAACAGCCGGTCCTTCCTTAGGGCAGGCTCGAGTAAGGGCAGCAACACACTTGGCAATGGAATAGTAAGACTGCTTGTGAGTAAGTGCTGTGCTCTGCGAGTACACTGGACCTGTTAACATGCGTAGTAAATCCATATAGCCTAAATTATTTGTACCAGTCACAACCAAAGCTTGGAAAAATTCTAGCATGGCACTGAGTGCTCCACCCTGAAGTAGAGGCGATCTCACCAGCCCAATAAGTTCATTGAGAATGGACCCACTAATCTTTGACAGGGAGGAAGGATATACTTTAGCCAGCGTTGTCAGAAAACTGATGGCCATCTGTGACACATGCATATCACTTTCACTAATGAGAGGTGGAAGCTCATCCAGTACAGCATCAATCATGGCAGCTGTCAAGCTGTCACTGTAATTCTTAATTAAAATATCTAGAGCAGAAAGAGTGCCCAGTTTCAAAGCTCGCTGGTTCTTTCTCAAAAAAGAAGCAAGAATAGGAACTCCTTCCCCAAGGATCGGTCTCAAATCTATCTTCAAAGGAGAACCAGCAATCAATGTCATTGCTTTCACTGTAGTTAACCGAGTGATCTCATTCTTCAGTCTCTCTAGGAAGATCTGAAGTGTACTAGGCAGGTCTGTGCCTAGGCTGTCACCAAGGCTACAAATTATTTGACCCATGCAAGATATTGCCCTTTCTTTCACCTCCTGATCAATGTCAGCAGCCTTTAATCTCTTGATTGTACAAGTAAACAGATCTTTGATGTAAGGAGTAGCATCAAAGGAAGAAGGCTGGTCTAAAGGACGAATGACCTTCACAAGTTGTTGGGTAACCAAAAGCGCCTCTGATGTTATCTTGTAAAATGGGTCTCCAACACAAGCTACAACTGGAGGTACCAATGCTTGGACATGAGGATGAAAGACTTGGGGAGAATGATTGCAGAGGATCACATACAAACAGGACAAAGCATCTATCTTCAGATTAGAAGAACTTGATTTGTCATTTAGTGAAAAAATTATTCCTGGAAGAACAAAGAAAAATGGATTTTTAGGTTAGTTATTTATATTTGCTCTGAACACTTCAAAATTTCTGAAGGAAAGCAGCTATACTGAGTTTACATTTTCCTACTCCCAATCCTTCTTGAATGCTTCTAAGCTCCCCTCACCATTTTATTCAATCAATTAGTTTTCAAGCTTCCCCTACACAGAGGTCATGGGCCATATGATGGTTTGTGATGTATTTTCTTAATTATAAAGGGATTCTGAACTTTTAACTTCTCCAAACTTACTTATCCTTGTTACTTCAAAATTCAACATTTCAGGTCCCAAAAGCTAAAATATGGACAATATTTCACTCCGTTGAGATGAGAAAGAAGGCAGTGTGATCTTGTAATTAAGAAGCAAATTAACTTTTCTTTTTTTGATATATAAAAAAAAAAAAACCTCAATCTTAGGCCCAACCCTTGTTGTCAAGATTAATGGAAATACATCACTAAAATATTTGTATGGATCCACACAATAGCTGATTATTTTGCCAATTTCTTTAAATAGAAGGAACACTTCAAAGCTTTTGCACAGAAAGCACAGTCAAGACTTAAAGATTTCAAAACTTCGCACCTAATTTGCTAATAAATCTGTAAGTTAATAGCATGTTTCTCATACCTGGTACAAGTACAGGAACATGTTGTGTTAGGGCTCCAGGTAATACATTTACTAGCTCAGTCAGCATGTTAAAGCAACACTGACGAGTCTTCACACTTTTCTCCTTCATCTGCTTGTGCAAGGCTTTAACTATGTTGGGGACCTGTAATCATGACATACCTGTTAATTGATTCAGTAGTTGGCATTTCTTTCATCTTTGATCACTGGGGGGATATAAAGAAAGATGTGCATCCTACTCCTGATTTCTCTACAGAACTAGAGAAGTTACATAAACACGGAAATAAAGATTCAGAAGAACTGCTATCCAAAAAAATAGTAATTTAACTTTAAAAGGTGAGATGAAGTAAGGCACAACCAGATTTGCATTAATAAAACTGTAGAGGGCAACAATTGAGAAGTCACCCAAATAATTCACTTAAAGTTTTCCAGCACCACCCTTTTTACTCTGCAAATAATGTACACTGTAGCAAATCAAGCTTTATCTTGATCATTCGTGCTTACAGCTGCATTACAGAATGCTCAAAATAACTTTTGCTTTGGTAATTTGGCTGAACTACATAGGACATGCAACTTTTACAGGTGATGGTAAACAACTGAAATCAGAAAGCACGTCTGCATGAACTGCTAATTTCAGTTTCCAAGACTGCTGCACTTTTAGGGGCCCGTCTACCTGGCTTGCTCTCTATGTTAGTACTACAGTAATGAACTGTAATCTGTGTATGAAGAAGGTACAACAGGGTACATTTCAAGAACTATCCTTATGAACAGGGCACAACTTCAGTGTGCCTTCTCAAAGATAACATAAATCCTGACAAATAACCTGACTCTGAAGCATTGTCAAAGGAGTCTCTCCTTGTTCCATTGCATCAGGATCACAAAGCCAACTTTGCACAGGTCGAGTTTGTTTTAAAAGAGAAAGATATGCATGAAAAACATCCGCTTTAACATTCTCTTCACGTTCTTTGAATCTGGCTATTAAAGCAGGCGATACAGTTTTGTAGAATTCTGGAAGCATTTCATGTCGTGTGCTAACCACAGCATCCAGACATTTAGCAGCTGCGCGCCTCACTTTCCAGCTCATATCATCATCATCACTATATTCATCATCACTCCCTTGAAAAAAAAAATAAATAATGCATATGTTCAAGTCTAGACAATCAAAGCATCAAGTTTCATTTTAAACAATTAATAAGAATACACTTGGGTTCTTTGCGTAACACACACGGAAGAAATAGGTTCAGAACCATGTAAAAAACACCATACATGGAAAGCCTTCTTAACTGCCTAAATAGTAAGGCTGATCATTTTCTCTGCCAATTTTTTCATGCTGGTCTTACACATGTATTTTCTTTAAACTGGGACAAGGCAGTTCCCATTATATTTACAACCTGACTACTGATTTAAAGCATATTCCTCTTTATTCGTGACATAATTAACAATGCAAAAACAATTACTAGCTGATCGATAATCAACAAATTATTCTATTTGTTTCCTTCTAGAAGTAAACCAAATCATACTCTGTCCCCAAAAATGACAGCCAACAAAATAAACAGATTGACTTTTTAAGCACTAAAGCAACAACTGTGCAACTCATTCATTCTTAAAGTAATGAGAAAGCTATGCGCTGGGCTCAGATTACTTGTGTGTCCAAGTTTTCATCAAACTTACATATGGCAAGATATTGCCACCATATTGACAGTAACTAACATGCCTTTCAGTCTAAAACATTTTTATCCTACAGAGAAATACTGAGTATTTTGCAATTTATTCTGATTTTATGCATTAGGTAACAATATATTCTAGTGGAAAGTAGTGAGCATGGGAAAGGCTTCAGAATATATATTTTCAATTCATTAACTGATGTTCTTCTCACTTTAGCTGCATCATCCTACATGCTTTTTTCCACCTTTCAAGTATTTGAAAATATTTGTCATGTACTTTATGTTCACCCTTGGAATTATGTATCTGCAGAAACAATATCCTGTACTTTTATCCCAAGCAGCGAGTTCATACGTTAAGTTTAAAAACAGTACAAAAATTAAATACAAAAGAATACAAGTCATTCCAATGCTGGTACTCAGTAAATGCCACCCATACCAGTTTTCTCACATAAGTGCAAGTTTACAAGCTCTTCCTCTCCCGCAAACCAAAAAGAGAATCTACCTTGATCATCATCATCACCACCATCAGCATCCATAGCATTTTCATCTTCATCTTCATCATCATAATTGTAATTAGGATCATAGGTAAGATATTTAAGACAAATGTTTATAATAGTAGATACATGAGGATAAACTTCTTTAGGACATCTGCATAATACAAAAAGATAATCAATGTCAAATTACTTTGAAGAATTAAGATATTTCTAAAAGACTTCATGCCCCATACTGTTCTTTGGAGACGACAGCGAAACCAAGGACCACCAATGCATCCATCTCAATGCTACAATGTAACTGGACCTGCTAGATTGGAAGGTTGCAGAGGACCCAGATATGTCTTTGGTTATTTTTTTTTGTCACCACTATTGGACAACACATATTATTAGAATACCTCCCTCATCTTGTTTGCATAAGTAGTAATGGCTCAGTAGAAAGTTTCTGAAGTACCGACATTACACACTGCTTAACAGTTATGTTACACAGAGTTGTAGGAACATTTCCAGCTCAAAGCTTGCAAGAATATTTTGTACCAAGGAGACTGTCTCTTGACAGCTTACAACCTAATGGCACACTATTAGATCTTGAGAATGCCTGAAATAGGTACCCAAGAATAACTTACCTCCTAACAAAGGATTCAAAGGCTTGAATGCAATACTCTCGTAGTTCATCATCATCTACATTACAAAACTTTACAACCAGAGGAATTATTTTCTCAAGATATTCACCTGGTATGAGAAAAAAAATAGCAAAGTATTTACTCTTATCTAAAAACTCTTCAAGTTATATATTTTTCTTTAAATTTATATATTTTTCTTACCTATTCTATGACCTGCTTGTCTACTGATAGCAGCAATACATTGTATATAGGTCCTAGTTGTTGACATGGAATCATTTTTAGACAGCTCTGTCAACAGATGTTCAATGAGGTCAACAAAAACCATATTGCCACAACTCATAACCAGGTGACCAAGAGCAATGATGGTTCTTTTCCTCACAGCAAGTCTGGGGCTAGTCAGCTGGGGGAGCAGACAGGTCAGAATTGAAGGATGGAAGTTAACAAGCAGTCCTCCTTGCCTTAAAACAGACAAAACACAAACTCAAACCAATTGAATCTAAATAACTTTGTTCATATACTGTACAACAATTCCTTTAAATATTCCCAAAACATCACAAAGATTCAGATTAAATCTTTAAATTTAAGCTTTTGGAATATCTAAAAAAATAAAATTAGTTTAAAATATACCCTCAAAGCAATAAACATTAAAATACGCTTAAAACCGCAGTGCTCAGATTATATAATACAGTAATTGATCTACCTATCAACTTATCTTCAATACATTTACTTTTTTTTTTTTTTCGAAATGAAGTTACACCAATACTTAATACCTTACCATATTATTTCACATAACTTACAGTAATTTCAGTTAAACATTTGGAAACTTAAAGTTCAAGCTTTAAGGAGCATTTATCAGCATTCACCAGCATTTTGGAAGAGGGATGTTTACCTGCTCAGCATATCAGCCATGATATCCAGTGCCTCCAATTGGACAGACACATCTTCCTGCTTGGCTATAGCACTAGTGAGGCGCCCTGTGATCTTTTTGCAAACATTAGCTGCTAATGCAGAACCTGAAAGGACAGCAAAACCTCAGCATTTTCATAATTTAAAAATACCATTTTTAACACCAGAGATCATGTTTGTGACTATGGAAAGCAACCTGATCTCAACATAAAGATGCTTTTCCCACCCAACAAAACAAGCCTGAACAGCCAGTTTGTTTGCTAATGTAACATATGCTCTGCATTAAAACTGAAAGACTATATATGCAGAAATATACTGAGAAGGAGGGCTTCTTATTTGTCCCGTAAGGTATACACAACAGAAAGGATGCTGCTTTTGGCAGGGAAAGTAATGGAAAGTGAAGGTCAAGACAAGGCTACAGCAATAAATTAGAAGACTATAAGTAAAAATAAAAGAATAAACTAAAAGAGAAGGGAAAGCACAGAAGTAGATAGAGCCACTTCTAAAGAACAGCTGTATAATGAAAAAGCAAAATACAATTTTGTACAAGAAGCTACTTAAGTATTAAGGACCTGAAATACTGATGAAACATTTGAGAAAGCGGGAAAACAGTACACCCAAAGCATACAGTTTTTTAAATATTTTAAATTTTAAAAAGTAATTTAAAATTCAAGTATGAATGTCTTTACCATAGCTCCATAGTTCCACCTTCCCCCAACTGTGTAACACTGTTCGCAGCAATTATGAGGAGGTAAGAAACTCATGTCATGGTATCAGCTACCCAATGGCTAATGCTCAACTTCATTTGCATGCAGCTTTTTTTAATCTTACTTTTGGAATTTTCGTGTGAAATTAATACCATTCCAAACTGTATTAAGCCTAGTTTATATATATTTATGGCTTATTCTTAACTATATGACTAAAACTAAACATAACAATTGGACAGTCAAACGTGTTACCATAGAGGCTAAGAAAAAAGACAACAGTCTATGCTTAAGTTGGGAGCAAGAAATAACACCTAGGTTCCTTTTGTCTTAGTAATACTAATTATATTGAAAGATTTTCCCATTTTTGCTTGAGCTTTACCTCTACCCCAAAATCTTTTGTTTTGCGTAGGCAAACAAAGGAATAGAAGCTTAAACTGACTGACTTTAAATTAGTTATTTATTTCAAGTTTACGCATCTCACTACTGCTTGATAAAAGCAAGACTTACATGTGGACTTTCAATAAAGGATGTTAAAATCAGAGCTTTTTTTTTTTCTAATTTGAGAAACCTGAAGTCTCTAAAAACTGTATTTCCAAAGCCTTTCTAATCACTTGTCTATTCTCATTCATATCCTACACTACGATATCTGAAAAGCACTTGAATAAAAAAGTAAAGCCATTAACTGATGAGCTGTTCATCTTTTGAAGGAAAGACTGACTTCATTTAAAACTGCAGGTAAGCATTTCAGTAATTTAACAGGCAATTGTTAGAAACAAGGCACTTTCCAGAAACTCAGACAAGAAATCAGATCATTAAAGAAAAATACCCAAGTTACAATCAATTTTAAAGTATACTATCAATCAAAAAACAAAATGAGATTTAGCTTTCACTACAGCCTAGAAATGTTCTACCAGGCAATTATTAAAATAGAAGCTTTTATACTCGATTTGTTATACCAAAGTTCATATACTGTAAGTTTGTTTTTCACATTAATGCAATTCTTCAGTAAAGAAAGTTTTTAAACTAGGAAAAATCTGGAAATACTGTCAGATAGAAGAAACCAGAAGGGTATTTGTGCCATACATTTCTCCTCTGACAGAAATTAGTTCCAATGCTAAATGAACTGAATCCTCTTCACTAAAGAACCCAGTTTTCTGCATTTTTTAAATTAGTAACGAAGCAATAAATCTAGAAAGTCTTGAGCACAAAATGCCTTACCACTAGAGGCTGGGGGGAGTTCTCCAATCACAGTTTTAAGGCCAATGCTTGAAATGTCACGTAACTGTTCTTTATCTGAAAGCATGTTTGTACAGAGGGTATCTACAATGGTCTCCACTTGATACTCCTTCACTTTACTCACCAAAGGGCCAAGGCTGTATAAATAGAAGAAAAGTATTAAATCGGCAACCTTAAATAAAACCCCTCATTTTATTTCAGTATTTTGCATTCAAGACACAAACTTAAGGTTGCTTTTGGTAGCAAAATAAGGCAGAATTTTAAAATCTGAAGGCCTTCAGCTGGTAGGGTTGATAACCTGTCTCCATCAATCCAGTAACAAAATACTGGTTTAGCACATGGTTTTTACCTCATGGTGGGAACTGTTTTTGCATGACTTTTGTTTCAGTCTCAAAACCAGTCTCTCTTACTTCTCACTTAAGACCAAGATTTGTAACAAAAGTTACCTAGCCAGAGCCATCAGTTTATGTGCTTGACCATCAGTGCCTGCACAGTTCACAGACAAGTAAGCAACCTTCTTAATTACCACATCTTTATTCTACATAATGCTTGGATTCAATCTGATATATACTCAGACTCATTCTATACCTTAGAGTGCCTTCCTTAATAGAATGCAAACAGTAAAATAAAAAACAAGGCATGCCTTCCTTCAAAGACTCCAAGCACCACTATATACGCAGCACGCAATAACGTATGCTCTTTCCTCTGACTTGTGAGTTTTTAGTCATTCCAACTGTTTTGAGGATCATAACAATCTTGTACTCCTTTGTTAAATTCCCCCGTTTGTTCAAAATACTAAAACTACAGATGTCTTCGTAAAGTCTAGTTCATTGCCAAGAAATATAGCACCTTTCACCGTCTTTCTAGCCCTATCACGAGCCCTCAACATCCCTCCATTGTTAATGTTCTGTTCCAAAATGGAAGTTATGACAAAACAGAGCCATATATTGCCTCTATTTCCTTCCACTCACCTGTGAAAAATTTCCATAAGAACTTTAAGAACTTACTCTTTCACCTACCACCCCTCCCTCTATTCACTCCAAATCTGCTTATCTAGTTTCTCCCTATTTTTAAAACACCTGTCTTCAGACAAAGTATCTCAAAAATGGGGAATTAATTGTGAAATACTTTAAATTACCAAACATTTTAAGCTAGTTCAACTCCCTGAAACATACTATATTAACAATGAACACATCAAATTCTGAAAAAAGTGTTCCAAGCTGTGCTATAGGAATTCCTACCATGTTCTATCAGGCAACAGTACAGATAACTTACGCATATGGTAACTACTCTGAAAGACATAGCTCCCTTCTTTGGTAAGGCTCTGTTCTCTGTATGTTGATCTTGCCAGCTCTTCTCTAATTCTCTGTGGTGATATCCAATCAAGACAGCATACTTACTAATGAGACACCAACAACAGGGGTGAGATGTGACATGGAGCTAAAGTTCTACCAAACAGGTTCTACACTGACCCCCAACAGAAGTGAGGGCAGGAGGACAAGGAGCTGTGTGCAACAGTCACACAGGAGAAAAGGACCATCTACAGAAAATGTGGGAATCATGAACTGGAAGTTTAGCCCACCAGCAGAATTAACAGAAACAAAGATGTGTCTCTAGAAGACTACTATGTATTTTCTCTTCCATCTGGATCAAAGGGATAATGAAAAGTATTCTGACTCGGTCTTGTGCACAGACCATCCCCTCATTGCTTTGCAGCTGTTCCAGATGTCTCACCAAAGAAATCTTACAGCCTGATTCTCAACAGCATCTCAATGTTTTTCCTCCCATGAAACACACTTCAAGTTATACACATCACCATCAAATTCAACTTCAGCCACAGTGAGAAAGCACAGAGGATTTTCAAGACATTTTACATGCGTGCTCTCAGCATGAACTTTGATGAGCAGTAAAGCGTGATGATTTTAAGTGAACCCTTTGTATCAAAACAATCTCGTTAAGATTTTGAGGAGTGGAAAGGCATCCACGAAGTTGTCATTTTTTAGGAAGCATTTTTCAAAACCTTAAGCTTTGCTGCTGTTTTTGTGAAAGTCAGGGCCCAACTTGCAGTACAGAAGTCAAAGTGAGCCCCTGCAATGGTTCCATCAGATTTGTGCTGTGAGGACAGAGCGCATTAAAGTGGCTTCAGGTGCTGAGCTAAGAGGCCACATCTCCCACCACAGCTGACAGAGTCAAGCAATATGGATCAGAGATCACAGATGTTTCTGTGGCTTACAAGTATTAGTAGCTGCCCTTCAACACTGTACACAATGTACATAAACAATCTCTCTAAATCGGAACTATGAAACTAGAATATGTGGAAATCGATACATGAACAAATGCAGAAAAAGGAGCATCTTAAAGCCAATCACAAACATTGTATTAGGACTACATTAGAATATAATGCCTCCATATAAACTTTCTTTTTTTCCACACTGAACTTTAATACTCTATACATCTGCTTTTAATTGAAGTTGATTCTAGCAAAGCTAACAGACTAAAATGATGTATATAGAGTTAGTAAAGACTAATTTTGGAAAGTTGAAGTCAAACTGAAGCCCTAGAGGAAAAACGAACAAACTAACTTGTTATCAAAACAAGGCTAAGATCAAGGAAACAAAGTTTAAATTTTCAGGTATATGCCACTATTCACTACAAGTGCATCAGACTTCTGAGACTGCAATGGTTCAGGTCCATATGGTCACAACCTTATTGAAACACCAGAAGTACGCAGAAGTTCTACAAGCAGATGATGAAATTATTTGTAAAATATATTAACATAATTATCAATAAAACAACTTCCAACTATAAGTGCTTGCCTAGTTTAACTCCTTGTCAAGTGCAAAGGGAGTAGGCTGCCCAAAGATGGACTGTTTTCTCATGATTATAAAAAAAAAATATTAATCTGGCAAGTTGTAACGTATTATTTTACACTTAAATTTTCATTGATTTGAAACAAATAGCAATTATCAAACTTTTAAAAGTTCATCCACAGGTTAGTTTGATACACAAGGGTAAATACACCCCCACACCTCCTCCCCCCCCAAAAAAACCTAGCCTTTCAAAGCATTTTACAAAAACAAGCTCAAGACACTACGAAAATGGTGGAAAGAGAACTTCCAACTTCATCCATTTGATAGTACAATGTAATAATGAAGTTGCCAGATCATGGTACAGAGCTAAACCCTGATTAACAAATACTAGTATGCAGTTCTAGTAAAATTAATAAATTCAATACATTATATTCTAATTCTACCAGATTACTGGAAAGAAACTATCTGGATGCAAAGTACTTCCTTTCCAACTTCAGTGATTACAATGGGGGAAAAGCAAGTTTTGGGTTTATTTTGTAAGATTTTGAAAATAAATCTGAATTAAGAGCAAGTTTCACATTAAAAAAAAAAAAAAAAACACACATGCATTAGGTCAACTGCACAAAACAGGGTCAGAGTGGATCATCTATAGGCAAGCAGAAATTCTGTCCAAGCTAGCAAGATACTAAGCTCTCAGTGAAGACTATTATTCTGAAAGTAGATAGTCCAAAATCTAAATTAAGTTATGCCACTCAGGCAAACACCTACTTTATGCTTATTACTTAAATTATCTAATTCCCACATTATTGTATTACAGAAACCCACAAGTGTTTTAAGACAGAAAAGTAATTCTTGAGTCTTTACAGTCTAAAGGAGAGTTCCTTTCTTAATTTGTATGTCTTGAGAGATATGCACACAAAGTACAAGATGACAAGCAAAATGGTTTTTCTTGTTTTACTGGAAATGGCTCTAGAGTTTAAGTCTAATTCTCCAAGAATACGAGTGGATCTTGGGTTCACTACTAGTTAATAAAACTGTCAGCTGCAAGGGAACACACGGGTCACAGATCAGGATTCGGAAGGCAAGGCTTGAGTCTATGGCATTTGACATATAAGGCACTGAAGTTATCTTAGGATCTTAGTACTGTATTTACCAAGAATGACAGCAAGACAACCCCACATGTTTACTACCTTGCTGGTACTGCTGGGGAAAAAAGAAATTCCTGCATTGCTTTAGCAGTGGAGATCTGAGGATGTGTAGCTTAATTCCAAAGTGCTGTTAACAAGGAAATGTTATCTTGTATTACTTTTACTTGTTGACCTATACATGCTTTGTATTATCTCGCCATTCATTTTTTATTATGACTTGGCACCTTGGACCATATTGAATTAATTTCTGAATTTATAGTCAAACTTGACAATGAATTTGTTCATTTGGAAACAGTCACTTTAGCAATCCCCACTTCTGGTCAAAGCAATTGTCCTTTCGAGTGTGCATGGAGAAAAAAGAGGAACACTCTGGTCATGCAGTTTAAAAGAACCTACAGTGTAAATCCAAACCCACATGTTTCAAGTTCCTCTGAAACTCAGTCTTCAACCTCAGTTTTCCATTCCTCCCACTACAAAGGCTCCCAAATGCACTCAGAGTTCCCCACACCTTTCACGCTTTCTGACTCAGAAGTTCTCTCAGTCATTCCAAAGCCGTCCCTCTCCACCCTACAGCTCATACCACAGGACAACTGTACACTCACAAAAATCTTTGTTCCACCTATTTTCTCAACTCCTGAAAGAAAAAGACAGTGTTCCAACAGCTCAAACTAAAACATTACACACAGCTGTTGGAGGGAGCTAGACTGGGGGACCAGGCTCAGATTCGGAAGACTGCAAATCAGTAATTCCAGAGGGACTTAAAAGGCTGAGATCTACGGCCTTCACTCTTGGACAGCTAGCAGACATGGCTCTATATAGTAGGACAAAATCAAAATTCATCTTCCATCCCAAAACCTGTTGTATGTACCCTACTGCTGCTACCCTTCTTTCCTAGGTCCAAGAACTCACAGCAGCAAGAGTTACTTATCATAAAAAATGCCCAGTAGTAGCAAAAGACAGCAAGCATGAAGTGCAGACAGAAAGACATGGACACATGAGATTTATCTATTCTATAAAGCAAGCCCTTGCATTCAAGCACTAAGAGTGATTTACAATACATTAGTGACCAGAGTAAGGTTCCAAGTTTTGGCATTAGTGGTTTGTCACCATGTTAGGCAAACTTAGGAGCTTCTCTTTCAATGGTCATGCTCGTAATGTCTTACCCCCATAAACTCCAGC